ACATTTCAAACAGAATTGTGAGCATCAAATAGATTGGAGGCATCTACATCTCTGGTAAAGTGATACTGTTTATGCCAGTAGAAACTAGGTCACTGTTTACTGAAGATGGTATTGCTGACAGAAGCTCCAAACTGAACTCTGAAATGCACGCGGCTTGTTCTATTTCTCAGATCTTATCAAAAGCTGCAAAAATTAGAGCGTGCCTCACATACAACTGAATTATCCTGTCAGCCGTGGTCATGCACAGAGCAAAGACAATACGTTGTCTCCAGAACTCCACACAGAGGAGATAAACAGTTTTAATAAGTAACAAAAGACAAAAAAATGACAATTATTTTTTTTTTTTTACTCTATTGGATCAACAGTCAGAGGTAGTTCTATGCTTCCTCTTAGTTTCCAAAGCTCGCATAGCAATTGCCCTGTTAAATTCTAGAACAGTACTAAATAAAATTGTTCTTTTTAGGAATAATCCTTCTAAACATGTACTGCATGAGAATACACATTTGAAGGCTAAAATGTTGAGCTTATGTCTAACTGCTTTCTAGCTAACCATAGCTATATAGGAATAGATGCTTCTGGATGGTATATCAACATTGCCGCCATATTATGACTTCACATGACTTGAATACAATTATAGCAGTGGCTGTTGTAGCAATGAATGCCATCTTGTCAAAGCCCCTCCTACTTTGCCTACAGTACACCATATTGGGTTTATAAGAATGAGATGAGACTTTTGGGGAGTTTTCACAAACAGAATTAAGGTTTAATTTCAGGTTTAGCCATTCTAGGTGTTTGTAGTTTTCAGTGATAGCTGATCTAATTTAACACAGATCTGTTAGAGGGGGCTGGAGGTAGTGGTGCGGTCCTGAAAATGAAAAATGATATTGAAACTTATTTTTTGCAAACATTTTTTCATTCCCTGTAACTATAGTGCCCTATTCGTTGAGCCATATCACCCATTTCAAAAACTGCCACTTTCCAGTGTTCCGGTACTCTGTGGCAGAATAAAAACGTGAGACTAAATCCATCCAGAAATGAAAGTGAACAAAGCAGGAAACACTTAAAACCAATGTCCAATGGCTGGAGAACCTAAAAAATAACCACATCAGTCTACCAAAGCAAACCCCAATATATATGACAGTGGCAGACGTCCAAGACTGTGACTCAGGCAGGAGGGCTGGACTGTACCATGCCCTGGCATAATCGATATCTACTGGCTAAACCAACTGACATATCTCCATGAATGCCTGACAGCACATGAGAACCATCTGCTAATTGATGGGACCTACATAGAGTGGCTGACCCAAGATCCCTAATGGATCCAGACAATGATTAACCCCCAGAGAGGGGCTGTCCCACCCACATACCCCTTCGCTACATGCAAGCGCCTGTCAGACATCAGGGCAGCAAAATAAAAGACACAAGATAAGCCGTCAAGAAATTGGAGTAAAACTAAAGGATCATGCATGAACCACAAGACATAAAAACATCTGGGCTGCCTGGAGTGACTGCAAGAAAACTTGTGACTCAATTCCACACAGGTGGCTGCTGGAATACTTGGAACTTGGTGCATCCCTACATGTGGGGATTTACTAAAGCAAAATCTTGACTCAACTTACATTGTGCCAATATTTCCCAGTCTTGAGAGATGGAGAAAAATGCTGGAGCACAAAGCCAGCATGTACCAAAGGAGGCTGATGTATTTGGCTACACAGGTGGGATTGTTTATATCACTGACCACAACAAGATTCAATAAAAAAAAAAAACCTACTGAGATGGGCCTGTACCACTCTTTCACTACTGGTCTCTACTTCTTTGACAGCTCTTCGAGTTTAGATTGGTTGACTGCTAGTTGGCAGAGGGTGCATTCATTATTCTAGCCAAATGGTCTTTTTGAATGTAGAGTACTTCATAGTTCAATTGAAAAGAAAAATTATTTGTGTCAGATTGATAATTACACTATGTAATAATGCTGAAATACATGAGATTTACCCATTAAATTATGTAGTAGTATGGTTTAAAAAAGTGCGAAAACACACCACACCTCGAGGTCTAAAATACGGTATTAAGCATTTACCTGCAGTAGGTAAAAATTGTAAAAATGTGTTTTTTACATATTTGTTAAAACTGTCACTATGTCCTGACCTCAGAATATTAAACAGATGATCTGTGAAAAAATCAAGCTCCTCTGGCTCCTATCAGTGGTCCTACTGCCATTTGCAGACATACACCGCTCCTGGTCAGAAACAACCAATCAGAGCCAGGAGGAATGTCTTACAAGTGTCAATCACGCTCATGTACACGCTGCTCACTACTCTCCCCCGCACAGTATGTACCATTATTGAAGTTAAGATTGCTGCAGCTGTGGCGGAGAAACAAGCTAATGTTACAGGAAAACTGCCAATTTCTTGAGTGGCACCTGCTCAGAAATCAAAGACATGTAAAGAGAAGAAGACCAATGATGAAAAGCGACGGCAGGCTCCGCTGTGGGGGAGGTGCGGTGGAGGGAGGGCTGTTAGCACAGCAGAGAGCAAGGAGGCGGGAACTGTAAGATATGCTTGTTTAAATTTTCAGGCTAAGTCTAGGTTTTCTCAGAATTCCCCACTACAGCTTTAAACTTTGATTACTTTAGGAGATTTATTTCCATCAGTGTCATTTCTTTTCTCTATTATGGAAATGTCGACACAGATTATACCAACTGAGAAAGTCACTTGAAAACAGTAGTTCCTGTAACTTGAGCCCAGTTTCATACAGACAGCTTTTAAATTTATTCAAACAATAATAAGTTATTTTGGATGTTCCAAAAAACGAAAACCTTACCGCAGATCCTTCAGGTGTTCAAGATATCAGGTGAATATTTTTTGTTCATATATCGCGGGTTTAACATGCAAAGGCTGCAATATTATCAAATTGTTTAATACAGTATGTGGAGACAAATATCACACGTTTTATTATACATACACATACACTGTTGCTCTGACTGTAGGACAAGGACAGAGGGTGAATCTCTGCAGCTGATTTTTGTGTCAGCGAACACTTCAACTCTGTCAAGATCTTCAGCCTGACCTCAGTGACAGCTCTGACGCTGTGTATCCAGGGATCATCATGCTGGATTTACAAAGTTAACTCTGCTCCCATTCTTCCTCTCTTTGGGGATTTAGTTTCGGACAGACAGGGTCAGTGTGGGATGACAGATGTCACACAGACGGGCAAAAAAAAGGCAGCATCACAGCAACTGACAGCTTTCATGCATGTTTTTTCCCCACTTTGTGCTAGATCAGTCTTTCGGTCCGAATGTTTCAGTGGTACATCAAAGTTTTTTAAAAGTAAAGAAATGAAATATCTTAAATTAAATTCTTGAAATCCAACAAAAATATCCAAATAAGTATGTAAGCAAGGCATCCATTTTGTACATTTTTGTTCCCACGTTTTCTCAGGCATAAACGTCATGGACGAAAATGACTTTTAAACTTGTTGATGCAAGAAAATGACATTTTTCCTCAACAGTTTTATTTGCTTGTGGATGCAGAGAACAGATATAACGGCCGTAAATGGTTTTCATGCAGTTTTTTTAAATTCTGAAAATTTCACAAGAAAATAAAAGTTGTTTTTTTTCATAGTATAACGGTCTTGTAAGCTCAAAAAGGAAAAGTATTTAATCTTTATCTCAAGAGAACTACATTAACACTACTTTAAATTACCAAAAGCATTTGCTTTCATTACCCGCACACACTAATACTCTTCAGTGACTTAATCCAATAAGTTCAATATAACATTGGTCCATCCTTTGCAGACATGGATGTTGGACGAGAAATCTGTAGGACCCCTGCACAAATTATGCCAACTAAACAAGTTTCACATTTTGAATGATAAGTTATGTTCCCGTTTCCACAAGGGGAGGGAACAGAGTTTGGTACACTGCAATCTGTACATAAAGGCTCTTGTTTTTTCAACAAACAGTAAAAAAAAAAAATAGAAAAAAATCATAAATCAAACAGACTCTGCTGCTAGTTTTTAAATTGTACTGACAAGGAGGGCACAAGTTAGAAAAGAACCTAGCTCTTCTAAAATTAAGACCATTAATAAATTGGATGTTAAAATATCAAATCTTTTGTTTCTAACAGAAGCAGTTAGTTTTATTTTGGAAGACATGGGCCTAGAGGGGCCACATGTTGGTTAATGGTCCTGTTTTGTGTCATGTTCTAGTTGTTTGGAGATATGGGAAGTCCTGCAGGCTCGGTATGTTAATATACTCGCGTGCAAGTTCTGAGATTAGCCAAGCTATAAAACATTAAACTGTTTGAATATGGCTTCTTTAAGTTTCATTGAAACTTAAAGAAGTAAACCTAAAGTAAGCATCATTAAATCCTTTGTGTTCATATCAGCTGACCCTGGGTGAAATTTAGATATTGTCAAATCTTTAAAAAAGGAGTTACTTAGAAAAGAAAAACATTTTCTTTGTTGCTGGAAAATGAATCTTCTTGGCAAAAATTTGAAATGATGCCAAGTGGCACAATACACAGCATACGTGGACATAATTCAAAAGAACTGCGGCTGTAAAGACTTTTTATGAGTTTATTGGCCTCATTGTTGTTCTAGCTGCAGGCCGACTCTTGAAACGGCTGCTGCCAGCCATCTCTAAAAGGACCCAATGAGCCAGAAAATTTGTCCTAAAGCAAAGAAGGAGCCGCTCCTTTCTTTGTTTCTCTATGTGTATTACATGGTATGTTTGTCCTGAAATAGATGACTAAGTTGTTCAGCTTAATCTCTTGAGCTCTAAATCAAGTTGAAGGATTGTTCTTCTTTTCTTCCCTTCATCACAGACCTTTCTGTTTGTCTGTATAAAAAAGGCTCATTAGCTTTAATAGAGTAAATCCTACTGATTTTGGACTAAATGTGAATATGCTTATATGCAAACTTGGAATATTAGATGATTACCAGTTTGCCTCACAACAACGTTTTTTGATGTTCAATATTTTTGAGCACAGGTTTAGGACTGGGCCTGCATGGTGGTGCAGTTGGTAGCACTGTTGTCTTGCAGCACAAAGATCCTTGGTTTGACTCCTGGCCCGGGGTTTTCTGCATGGAGTTTGCAAGTTCTCCCTGTGCATGCGTGGGTTCTCTCTGGGTACTCAGGCTTTCTCCCACAGTCCAAAAACATGACTGTTAGGTTAATTGCCCTTAAATTGCCCTTAGGTGTCTGCATGGTTGTTAGTTTTTTTGTTGCCCTGCAGTGGACTGGCAACCTTTCCAGGGTGTACCCCTCCTCTCGCCCATAGACTGTGGATGGATGGATTAAGGACTCAATATGAGAAATGTATTATAACTTATTTTATTAGTAGTAATTGGGAAGAAAGCTCACGTGATCCTAAATAGTCATTTAAAAATGTACATCCTTGATGCTTTTTACAGGATTTTAAAGGGAAAGTAGCAGCCAGATGGTGCTAATCAAGCGCCCTTAATCAACTGGCTATTAATAAGTGTGGATCCTCACTGAAACCAGGAGTCTTGGCAATTTGCTGGTCTGGATCACACAGATGAGTTAACACAATGCCAGGGCAGAAATACATCCACAGTAGCCATTTCATAGGACTATGACCCCAAACACAACAGCAAATCTACAACACAATGACTGTAAAAGAAAAGAATCAAGGTGTTTTAATGACCTAGTCTCAACCTGGTTGAAACAAATATCTGCCAACCTCAATAAACTGAAGGAACTTTGTAAAGAACAGTGGGCTTAAATTTATCCACAACAATATGAACGAGTGTTGGAAAATGACTATTTTAAGTCATTGTTAACAATGGTGGTGAGACAAGCTGTGTAATCATGGGCTAAAGTCGGTGTTTCCCATGCCTGCAAGATCCTTTGCAATCAAAAAAATTATAATCTGAGTTCTTGGAGTGATCTTTGTTGGTCTGGTGTTTTTCCATTGTTCCCAGTTTTTATTTTAGGTTTCTCTAAATTCAACCAGACATAAAGCGATGATAAAATTAACAGAAAGCAAAGATTAAAGAGATGAATATGATCCATACATGCAGTGGTGGTTTTTAATGTGGGACATGTGGGCAGTTGCCCAGGGTGACAGTAGACAGAGGTGTACCAGAAAAAAAAACAAAGTATAATTTATCAGCCAGTTGCACCATAAACAAGCATATTGTTGCTTTTACGAATGTGAGGTCAATGGCTGCTGCTGAAAAAAGGGTAATTAGGATTTCTTGGATTTGGATTGTTTGGGGGACATCAAAAAGAGGGTATCATTTAATACAAGAACCTCTCCTGCATACATGATGTGATCATGCAATAACAAATTAAATCTGTTTATAATTAGATATCTTAATAACTTTGAACACAGATGATGGCTTTGTGCATCTTCTTGGAAATTCGAAGGGAAAAGAAGCTGAAAGATGAAAGGAAAGTGTGTGTTACATTGGAAACCCAATGCAGGGAAATGGAGACCTGATAGCTGGATCAGATTAAAGCTATCTCAAATCTAAAGAGGGTTAATTGCCTGACAGTATATGTGAGCTTTAGATGAGTGTGTAATTGTTTCTGCCGCTTCAGGGCTCAACAGTATCTGCGAGTTCTGAGTAGGGCGTGTTTTAGAATTGCACAAATGCATTAAGGAGAAACATGGACGAAAATGTGATTTTGTGAGGGTTTTTTTTTCCTTCTACGTTCCTAAAACCAACTCTAAAATCTACCGGCAGCCCCTGTCTCACTTAGCTCCATAATGTGTGATGGTAAATGTAGAAGCTTTTATAAATGAAATGGGATGAAAATTGCTATGCCATATTATTACACTGTACCTAATTTCCATAAAAGACTTCCTGCCTGTCAAGGTGGTGAGAGATGGTATGAAAGCTTAAGCTGCTGATTAACCAGTCAGTGTACATTTCAGTCATCATGAGCTGAGCAGTGGCGGTTCTTGTGTGAGTGCTGCCATGATCAACTGATGCCAAAATAAAGTTCTATTTTGTGTTTTCACAAACTGAATTAAGGCTTTATATATCATAAACCATCTCAACAAAAATGTAAACCCTAATTATGAAAAGGGAACGCCAAAACTAAAAATAAAATTACAACAAATATGCACACTTCATACAAAAAAAGAAGAGATACAAACAAGCCTTAGCACCTTCTGAAGTGCTCCTTCCTTCAATGTGGCAGCAGCAGCCTGGTGCTGAAGGAGCTTCTCAGAGCTCCCCCAGTGTCATAGAGGGGGTGAGAGGTGCTGTTAATGATGGATGCCAGTTTGACCAATATCCACCTCTGTCCCACCTCCACCGTAGAGTCCAGAGGGCAGGCCACAATTGAACTGGCCCTCCTGAACAGCTTGTCCAGTCTACTCCTGTCCCGCTCTGTGCAGCCGCTCCCCCAGCAGACCAGAGCATAGAACACTGCAGAAGCTACTACAGTGTCATAGAAGATCCCGAGCAGGGACCTGCACTCATTAAAGGACCGGAGTCTCCTCAACAGTTGAAGGCGACTCTGGCCCTTCTTGTACAGGGTTGGAGTGTGTGGAGTGTGTCCAGTTTATTGATGAGGTAAACACCCATAGTCTTAATGTCCAAGTCCTGGATGTTCACCGATGAGGCAGCTGAGATACAGATGAATACATGCATTATAGGTTTCCTTTAAAATGATCAAATAGCTCTCTAATTTAGTAATGAGTAACATGCTAAGAACCAACTGACAACTTCAGCATCATTACCCGGCTGCAGTGTACAGACATTGTCCTATAGTGCTTAATCTATGCATAGCAAAGGGATCACTCCCTACCTAGTAGGCAGAAAACCGGGTCACCCCTCTGATTTTAGGGGACCTTTTATAGTCTTAGGGGCTCATAGATTGAATTTAAGAGGAGGTCAATAGGCAGGGATTTAGTTCAGAAAGCTATTGATCAAGATCCCTTTCTAGATTTACAAGGAATTATGGGTTTGTTGGAAGCAAAATCTTTGAAAAATAAGGCATGGATTGGCACAGTTGCACAGTACAGCTTCAGTATGAAACTATAAAAGTTTAGCTATCTGAGTGCCGTGCATTTGATTTGGTTGTGTCAGTATGGCATTTTAAAACAGAATTAGCAGAGAAGCAGATAAAAACCACTGCACAGCAGTTGATTTAGATTAGAGGAATGTGAATACTTTAATGATTTAATACCATTAGCTTTCAGAAAAAAGATTGTAAATTAAAAGAAGTGGTTCAAGCTGGAGTCTTTGAAGGCCACAGAGAGGGAGAGCTAAAGGCGAGTGTTCAGTCTTGAATAGGTTCTCAGGAAGTAGTTTGTTCTTCTCTGCTCTGCAACGTCATCGTCCCTGGCTCACAAATTTTCCACTGCATTGGCCAACTCTCTTTCTCTCTTTTCTCTTCCTCTCTCATCCAAACACACAAATGCATACAACAGAAGACATGAGCACACATCAGCAGACACAAACTAGCAAACTCACTCTGGCAAATGGCAGCACACTATGTCCTCTCTTTAAACACACATTTATGCACAAAACGTTGCAGTTGTGTATGTGTGATTGTGTGTGTGTGTGTAAGCCAAGCGTGATGCTGGTGGCACCAAAACAATGCGGCCGTTGTTGGAGTCGATATAAAGCCACGACATAGAAAGAAAACTCAAAGAACATGCACAATAGATGTGCTTGTGCTGAAATGAGAACACTGCATATCAAATGCTCTCTTTTGAATCATCATATTAATCATTTACTTTTCCATCTGATAGTGACGTGGTTCAGTGACTATAACTATCCTCTGGATGAAAAAAGACTCTTTAATTGGTTCTGACCACCATTTCAGCAAGCTTTTATAGATTTTAATGAAAATGTATCAAGATTCAAACTCTGGCAACAAATGAATAGAATCACCTCTTGGGCATATGCAACAAAATAATTTTATATTACACTTCTAACATTACAAATGGAAATCTGACCTAAATTCACACATACAACATTGACCAAAACCCTAGCAAAAGCAATTCATCATAAATTACATACATTTTTATCCTGCACTTTTTAAAGTGTTTCCAATTGCCAAGTTTCTGACTATGAAGCTGTTATGACAATAAACTGTTGATATAGAACTATGCCATAATAATTTTCTTTAGAAGCTTACTGTAACTCATTAAGCTTCTGAGCTAAATGCCCACATTTTCCTGAGCCTACATGTTGGCAACCTTGACTTAGAAACTGCTTCCAGCCAGTGATATCCTTATCTAGGCTTTGTGTTGGGGCTCATTTCTCTAAAATGTAACCAATATGGTCTGAAAACAATTAGATTTGGTTCTGGCCTCAGAATGATGGCATGCCATGACATATGTCATAATGTTGAGACTTCTGCGAGTTCTACTGTTTTGACAGACATAAATATAAAACCTGATCAGTTGCAAAACTGCTTTTATTCGCTATAACTGTTTGCATTTGTTCAAAGTCTGATCTCCAAGTTCCAGCCAGCTTTTTTGTTTTGTCTTTTTGCACATCTACTAGGCACCAGAACCTCATTTATCTATCTTTATTTCTTTTGCAAGGTAACAATTCGGTTCTGAACCACGAAAAGAAAAACTTTGAACATCCAATGCATGTAAATGCCTGATGAAAACAGCCAGAAACTGCTTGTAGAGAGGATGTTCAGAACCATTGGTCCAGGGACCCAATCCAGTATACTAAAGGCTCCCACATAGCTGGGTGTACTTGTCTCCAACGCGTATTCTAGATGGACTCAAAGCAGACGTCCACCGGACATGTCCGCGCAAAGCAAAATTTTTGACTGCCTATGTGGTGTCACACATAAACTGCTTGTTGGGAAAAAGGCTCAATAATAAACTGTTTTATATGTGTCACACTGCTCTGAACAGCCAGTCCCGATGACACGAAATGTCACTGCCACTCTCTGCGCCACACTGAAAGATGTATTGTCCTTCTTATTCCCTAGTCTGGTTTAATGGCCTTATATACCACCTTCTTTTATTTTATCAGAACTACACGACAAATTAGCTCTTCCTCCTCATTTGATGACGCCATGACAGAAAGTGTGAGAAATGTAGGAAATTGGTACGCTTGACTATAAAACC